TGATAAATATATTATTTCGAAAAAATTTATTAGGATAATTAGAATACTTAGGATACTTAGGATAAATGTTATTATTTTAAAAATTATATTTTTTTTTGCCTATATTTACGAGGATAAAAAACTATATCTCGAATCCATACCTTAAATGTAGGCAATGGTGATGGCAGTAAACTTGAAAGCCTTCCATCCAATCGATATCCACTGAGCTAATTAGAACCATATGACGTAACCAAATCCAAGACCAGCAACTGAGCACCCTAGCAGTAGAGGCACTCAACAGGAAGCAAGAAGCGTATCGCATCCCTTCAGAAAAAACCGCATAGCAAGAACAACTTCTATCGCCAAACCATACCCCCAAGCACTAGATAACTATCTAACAATAGCCATGTGAAATAAAGGCCAAGTATAATATCAAAAACAACGCATACCAGGAATAAAGTAAAATGCAATCTTAAACCTAAAACAAGAACCACGTAGGAATTAATTAAAAGTAAAAAAGGAGAGTAAAAAAGAATAGCGAAAAACTAATAAAGCAACGCATAAAGCAAAAAGAAAAGGAAGCTCATAAAAAACAGCAACCAAACAAAGGGAGAAAATAAGAAAGAAAGGGAATAAGAATAACGTAAAAAATAAGGAGAAACAATGATACCAAAATAGGTCACCAAATAACCGTAAACTATCGAAATCAGCCCCCATTGATAAGTAGGTAGTACTAGCGGTAAGTAGATAACATTCTAACATAAGTAGATTCACAGTCTAACATAAGTAGATCATAAGTAGGGAACAGTCTTATAAGACTGTTCCCTACTTATGACCTACTGCATACAATATGACTATAGTGGTCATATTCTCTATAACTAGAGTGATCATATTTGTTTTCATATGGTCCTCTGAATCGCATTTTCGAATTCATTCCTTTACATATATAAGGTACTTCTATTAAACTTGCTTTTATTTTTGCTTCACTTTGACTATTCTCTTTTGCTTCTTCCTCTTCTTTCACTTTTAGAGGCTTTGGTTTGTTCGCATACTCACCCCTAAAAGGTGTGACTTCTAGTTTAAATGCTGTTGATTATTATTGTTATTATTACTGTTATTATTGTAGTTATTATTTTTATTATTATTTTTATAATTCCTATTCCTGCTATTACTGCGGTTATGATTTCTATTGTTATCATTATGATTTTGAAAGTTTCAACCTCTATTATTGTTTGTACTCCTGCAATCTCTAGTGAAACGGCCATACTTCTCACAGTTAAAGCATTAAATATTTGATTGGTCATTATTCATACGTCGATTACTTCTATAATCTCTAGACAAGTGACCAAATTTTTCACAATTAAAACATTCGTGTGACTGTTGTTATGGCTACTACTGCTGCTATTGTTGTTATTGCTGTTGTTGCCCAATGTTTGCCATAATCGCTTGTAATTCTTCATTCAGTTTGCGATTAATAGTACCCTCAATATCTGGTTGCTGTGTAATATATGTAGGTTGCATTGCTATACTTGTGCGAGCTGATACCATTCCTCTTTATAATAATTGCATGTAATTAGGCATTAATGAATAGGCAGATAGTTCTATTCCAATGGAATATGCAGATTCTACTACTCTGGCCTTTTCGATTACTTGATCTACTGTTGTTGGCATTGCTGTTTGCACTGATACCATAAATTCTAGTCACAGCCCTTCAATAAATTCAGCAACTCTATCTATCTCAGCTCTCCTATACCGTAGGTCAACTCACTTTCATAGTTCTCTTATTGCTGCCACATATTTCTCAATCATTTCACCTGATTTCTGTGTCTTATGCCTAAGCTAATGCTTTCATTGATTTTGTCAAAATGCATTGCAGAAATGTTGTTCAAATAATGAAACGAAAGAAGTGCCAGGATTGATTCTACTATTCCAGTTGGTAACATATTGTCGTTGGAACTATGTTAGTACTGTTCCTGTTAAATAACTGGGAACTATTTTAACCATTCGAGTGGTATTAATACAGTTTGCTTTACAAGCTCATTCGAAAGCCTCAAGCCACTCCACTGGATTCTGATTTCCTCCTCTAAATGTTGGCAAATCTACCAATCATTGTTCTCTCATTTGTTATCCTTGAAGCCATCCTGCTAGCCCTTGTATGACTTGAAGGTAGGCATTGTCATTGTTTCCTCCTACTGGTACTATAGCTGGTTGAGGTATAAGTATTGGCTGAGAGGTATTTATATTATTTGATGGTTGACTGCTAGGTACTGACTGAGAAAGTTGTTGTGCTAGTTGATCGAGAACTACCCTCCAGAAGTTTGATGGTGGTCATATATTATATAGTTGGACTACTGTTATTGACTATAGGATTCCTTTGGTAATTACATTTTGATGTCCTATTGTATTATTTCCTCTGTTACTTGAGTTACTTTTAAGCCAACGGTTATTTACTGGTTGCCAATTTGCAGTTGTGAAACTAGAGGTTGTAGAAGCATGGCAGACATTTGTATAATTGGTCGATTTTTATGTCGATCATTTCCTAATTGTTATTGAAATGATTAATTTTGATTGGTTCAATTTTATTATTA